CGCAGCGCGGAGGTTGACCGAAACGAGTCAACTTCCGCTGCTGCGCCGCATCGTCTTCCGACATCGTCCTGTAATTTGTTGTTTTTTGTATTTGTTTGATTTTGATTTTTTGTTTTTGTCGTATGCCTTGGTTTTATGTTTTAATTCTTTGTTAATTCGTAAACGGTTGTTTGCAGGTTGGTCGGGCTCTTACTTGGGGTCTTTATATCCACCTCCCTTCACTTTCTGTGTGAGGATCTCCTTTCCTTCCTGTTAGCAGTCTTACTGCATTCCACTTTTTTCGCCCGTTTCCTTCTCCGAATTCCGTTCGCTTTTCGACAATCCTCCGTTCCCTTTCCCACAGTCCTTCACCTCCGCCCTCTATCCTTTACTCCCCATCCCCCTCCTCCCCCCTCCTCTTTCCTCCTTGCCTTCGTATCCTCCACCGTACCCACGATCCGAGTTGCTTCCACTCTCCCCACCTAAACTCTCTCGGGTTCCTTTCTCTTGCCCTCCTGCTTCTCCGTGGGTCGTCAATCCCACGAATCTGAATTTCTCTTTGTTCCTCTCCACCCACTCCTTCCACCGATTCCCCTTCTATTGCCTATGGCCGACGTTCCCCTGACCGTCCCCCTACACCCCCGTTTTATCTTCCCAGCTTACCTGTCGATCTACGCCCACTCCTATCCCCGACACCCCGACTTTTCCTAGTACGCTCCCACCCTCCGGTCCCACTCTCCTTCCCCCGGTGTACTATTTCCCCCTTTCGTTTATATCCACTGACTTTGTTGAAATATCCTCAGGTTATCCTCTAGCTCGCCGTATTCCTTTCCCTTACCTGATTTCCCGTTGGCCTGGCTCACCTATCGTGGTTCCCCCTTGTTCCTCACGTTCCGGCCGCCCCTGGTAGTCAGTCGTCGTTGTCCTCTTCTCCAAACGAAGAAGTTGTCACCCTGTTGTTGTTGTTCTTCACGGCTCGCCTTCTCGCTCAGATCCGCTGTTCCTTGCGGGCTCCTAGACTTCCACCATTGCCTTGAAGCGCCTGTCGTCTCTCCCCCTTTTCCGCTCTTCGTCTACCTTCTCTCTTCCGGGGTTTGATGTAGTCCCTCTCGCCCCAGATTTTCACCCCTCGTTGTCCTCTACTCCGAATATTGTAGCCACTTGAAATCTTTTTTCTCTTTTAGTATAGTTCTTCTCGCCCCAGATCTTCACCCCTCGTTGTCCTCCACTCCAAGTATCGTCACCATTTGAAGTCTTTTTTCTCTTAGTACAGCCGTCCTCGTGGCTCGCCTTCACACCCTGGTCCGCTCACGGAGTTCAGCACACGCATTGCGATATGCGCTCGTCTTTCGAGCCCGCCCGCGTGTAGTCCGCATTCTTCCGGCTCCCGCACTCTTGTCGCGTCCAGTGCCCCGCCTCGGCGTTGTCCGTGTGCTTTCCTCGTCCGCGATGCTGTCCCGAGGTAGCTCCACTCCCTGCGTTGTCGTCGGACCGTGGTGATGGCGCTCGGACCTCTTGAGCAGTCAGCGCGATGCTGACCAGCGGGCTGCGCTAGTACCCCGCAGTTACGCCCTGCGGCAGTTAGCGCACTGGCGCGATCGCGTCTGCAACTTGACCTCAGGTCTAGTATAATCTAGTCAGACTAGCATCATCCGCTCAGGGGTACCCTTCCCTAGGGAAGTAATCAATGCCGTCCTTCGGACCTCCACGCCCCAAGGGGGAGGAGCGTGAGTGTGTGTATACGTTGTAATCTTTTCAGACTTGCTGGTGGAATAGGAACCGGACTGACGCTCCCCAGAATGGATACGGAGCCGGAACCATAAGGTTCCGTTTTTTTTATTTAAAAGAAGAAGAAGAAAAAAAAAAGATATGACCTGACCTGTCAGATACTGACGCAACACCCCATCATACACCACACATGTGTGAGAAAGAGGAGGGACCGCATACATAGAAGAAAGGTCCCTCCTTGCACACACACATGGGGGGAGATACCACGGATGAGAGATGGGAGGAGGTGAGAAGAAGATGGAGGCGAGGGGGAAGACCAAGATCGCTATAGAGAAATCCAAAACAATAGTCCCTGGCCGAGTGTCCAATCAATGCAAGGAAAATGAGCGATAGCGAATTCCAGAAACCAAGCAGCATCATACACACGAAACCGGATAGTNAAATGAGCGATAGCGAATTCCAGAAACCAAGCAGCATCATACACACGAAACCGGATAGTCGTGACCTCGAACCGAAAACAGAATTGCAACTCGAGTTCCAGCAAATAAGAGCACAGCAAAAGCTCACAAGTGACAATGTTGGAGTAGTCTCATCATCATCAACAAAGAACCAACGTTGATTTCCTATCTGGCGCTCTGCGCCCAGACTACAAATGGCAGACCCTATCTAGCCTATCTACAATGCCGCTGGTGACGTCAGCAGCTCCCCGAAGTACGAGCAGATCTCGGCCAATGCCGTTCGCCTCAAGCACCAGGTATGCCACTCGCATCACTCACAACCTCGATCCCCCCCACACAGATGCCACGTGCATCCAAGGGCCACCATGCGCCCTATCCAGCACCTCGCAGGCCAGCTCGGCTATGGCTGCCTGCGCATCCCTTGCTCGCCCATGAGCGCGTGGGCGCTTGCCTGCTTGACAGTGCTTGTAGCGCAGCATGTAGCAAGTGCCCGAATGCCAAATGCGAGGGCAGGCACTTTCCTAAATGGAAGTGGCCTGCCTGCTGCGTGCGGCGTGCGGCCTGGCTGCACTGGGCCCCTGCCGAGAAGCTTCTGGTAGGCCCCAAGTGGCTGAGCCCCAGTCCACACGAATCAGGCCCAGGGCCTATGGCGGTTACCCGTGTTCAACTGCCCACAGCCTGTGTTCGGTCCATGTTTGTTATCTGGCCCAGGACCTGCCTCAGTTACATACGAAAAAGGCAGCCAAGGCCTGAGCGCTCTCAACCAACTGGCGCTGCGCAACTGCCTGAATTTGCCCAGTTGCGTGGTAGCCGAAAAATAGGCCTCTCGTCCTTGTTCGGTCCTGCCTTCACTTAGGGCGGCCGACATGCTGAAAACAGGGCCCAATAGGGCTCGTTGAGGCCTTGAGCCTCACATCAATGACTGCCGCAAAAAAAAATGTCGAATCAGATCCTGGGCATATGCCCGTGAAACCTCTGCCTGAACTCTCTCTCTCTCTCTCTCTCTCTCTCTCTCTCTCTCTCTCTCTCTCTCTCTCTCTCTCTCTCTCTCTCTGAAAGAAGAAGAAGAAGAAGAAGAANTCTCTCTCTCTCTCTCTCTCTCTCTCTCTCTCTCTCTCTCTCTCTCTCTCTGAAAGAAGAAGAAGAAGAAGAAGAAGAAGAAGAAGAAGAAGAAGGAGGAGGAAGAAGAAGAGGTGGAGGGCGAGAACAGATACAAGAAGAAGATGAGGTCGTCCTCCTCACTGTCTCACTTGTGCTGCCAAGTTCTGACGTCGCCAGTGTACGCTGTGCTGCAGGTCGCTGGAGCCAAGTCCAGCTATGGCGCCCAGGTACGTACTCGAACGCTGCAGGTATGGCCTCCACCCTGTCTCCCTACCTACTCCTCTACCTCTAATGCAGCGCAGCGCTGTCGGGTGCGGTGCTGGTCCAGCAGCGTGTCGCCCAAGAAGTGAGCTCCCGAACTGTGCCCATGCCCAGCCGCTGCCCAGCTATAAGTAGCGCTGGGTCTGGCTGGGCGCGCCTGATGCTGGCCTCAAAACGGCCCACTCGGTCTGCGCCCCTACCAGGCGTCCAGACCATGCTGCTGATGCAGCAAGGCGCAAAATGCGCCTGGCCTAAAAACGGCCTCGCTCCTGTGTACCCAGCCCAAGGCGGAGCCTTGGGGCCTGCAAGTCCGAAACGCCGTCTGCACAGACAAAAATAGTACAGCCAATAAATAAGTAAATATATAAATAAATAAATGCTGCCTGTAGTCAAAACCTGAGGCCTGGGGGCCGCCGTGGGCCTCCAGGGCGTGTGTCTGATGGGCACGCGGCCTGGGGGCCCCTCAGCAATCATCGGGCCCCTGAAATGGGGCCCGTGTGCAGGCGCAGCATGTAACAGAGGTCCTCTTCTTCGCCCTCACTCCACGGCTCTTCCAGCAATCTACCCAACTTCCCCCTGTGGGTGGAGCAGCAGCATGACTGCCAGGTAAGATAATGCTCCACTCATTCAGCCCGAATGATACACTCTGCCCAACTTCCCCCTCATGGCTTCACTTAGGCTGAGGTACCGGGTGACTTTCCAGCGTGCTAGGCGTACTGCAGTTCCTGTGCTTTGGTGGGAACATCATTGCAGCCTGCAAGCCTACCTCAGGGCCTGAATCTGACCTACCATCATCTAGATTCGGGCCTGACTACTCATGACCTATTTGTAAGCTACCGGGGCCTACCGGACCTTGGTCGGCCCTGCCCGTACTACTGGAAAATGCTTGCCGGGCACTACCGCCCTCTACTTGGTCCCTGTCCATCCTAGACCGGTGGTCCGTCCCGTCCCAATTTCAGTCTTGCCCCTGTAGTTTCCATATTTTAACTCTACGGCGTCTATGCCTCCCACGAACACAGAAAGCACAGAACAAGCAGACAGTTTGTACTTTGCCTAGCACATTCCATCCCGCAGCAAACTCACACAGCACATGGAAATCTCAGCAAATCAGCCCAGCAAGCAGCAATACTCAGAAAACAGCAGAAATCTCAGACTGATTCTGTGCGGGTCATTGCACATTCAATGCTGTTGTTTATATGGTAAGAGATGATGGTGGAGATGATGAGGGGAGATTGATGGAGGCAAGATGTGGGAGAGGTGACATTGGTTCCAACTTGTGGTTATATTCATCATCATCTTCTACTACTACTCATTCTTTGTCCTCACTTGTCTTATTCTACTTCCAATCGCTGTCATTTGAGTTGCAATTAAAGGGCATTTTGCCATTTTCTCTTTGTGGGTATTGCATTGGGAGACGACCAGGATCATAACTATCCATTCTGCTTGACTTGTAACTAAAGACGACTTTCCCACCTGCGCATTGATGCTGCCACTTCTGCGTGAATCTCTGGGAGTTTGGATGGCAGATAGTCCTCAGCCACCCGGATTGCATCATCCCACCGGGAAAGATCCTTGTACATTCGGATAGCCAGTTCTGGGTGTTTTGCCTGCCAAGTGTCAAGAGTTGGAGAAAAATTAGCTCCCCAAAGCTGATTTGGAAGTCTCTTAAATTTTGAGCATGAGATGAATGGTTAAAACTTAAAATCAAGACTGTATCATCATACTATCATCGCATGTCTGTACATGGCTTTGCAATGAGCCCAAGTCGTGATGATACTCGTCAACATTACCAGTCCATATCATTATCAACCTGCTGATGAATGACAAACAATCGCAAATGTGTGTAGACAGAATGAGGTGGGAAATCATACACAGACGAAGGAGAGAGAGGGAAGAATAGACTTA